AAGGGGTGTGGGAGATGCGGGAAGAGACTGGACAAGAATCGTGCACCTATGGATGAGGACAGTGGGTGAAGAGTGAGGGCGGAGGGTGGGGTGGGAGCTGGAAGGAGGGGAGTTATGGGGGGGAAAAAAGAGGAACAAATGTAATAATCTGAACAATAAAGATTTAATTAAAAAAAAAAAAAGAGGAAAAGTGCATTTCCCCACCACCTGATTCTGAGCTCAGCCACGTCGTTTGCTCCGGCCAATCGATGAAACAGAAGTTACGGTGTGTCAAGTCCTAGCCTCGCCTCAAGAGACCTAGCATGGTTCCACTCACTCTTTTGCATCTCTGCCATCGCCATGAGAATGGCATACCCGGGCTAGCCCGCTGCTCTCGAAAGGAGGCTGACGGCTGTGGGACAGAGCTGCCTCATCTCAGCCAACCAGCCAAGCCTGGCCTGCAGCAGAGCCCCCAGCGGACCCACGGAGACAGGAAAGTGCCCAGTGGGGCTCAGCCAACGTCAATCAACCCCCAGCCACTCCAATACGTGAGCCATAATCATCAATGCTATTTTAAGTCATGGATTCTGTATGCATGCTGAGTACACAACATTTGCTTTCATCTAGATTAAAAGTGGATCGATTCCTATTCTTGCAAAGGGCAGAAGCTCCAGAAAAGTTACTACAATGCACGTGGTCCCGCTATTCCTTCCTTCTCTGATGTTTGTATCACCCTGTCCTCTGCTTTAGACAGCGCCTTATTCTTAGCCTTAGTTCCAGCCAACTCGAGGCATCCACCTCTTATCTCTCTTTATATGCCATGACCTAACAGTAGGCCAAGCCGGACATTAAGAAACAGCCCAGGTGAGCAACCACATGGCCATTGTAAATGTCTGTCCCCATCAGAGGAGCTGCATTAGGAACAGACTGTTTCTCCCAGGCTCGTTACTCACATAGCCCAGGAAACACCCGAGACCATCCCTACAAATGTGGCCGCACTCTGAATAGAGGGCATTTCCTGCCCCTGGAGTTGTTCCAGAAAGAGTAGAAGGTCACCAGGAAAACACTGGAGAGGCTGCAACCGTAGCAGAAGGGATATGGGATGAAGGGCATGTGGACAAAAAGGGACCACATACTAACCCGGCCAGCTCAGGGAGGCCTGCATGGCGGCCTTACAAACTCAGAGGCTTAGAGTAACCACACAGATGGTCTGAACATAAAACTTCCCAACTAAAAGCGCGTCATGCGGGTAGTCCGGTCCCAGGCCTGTAGCTCCCTGGACAAAGGTCAGTCTTTACCTGAGGTGAGCCTGTCCATTGTCTTTCTGCATCTAAGATAACAGACCTTTGAAATGTCAGCGTGATCTCCTTGTCCGGACCTCTTAGGGCACACCTACCGCACCAGGCAGGACACCACGGAACCCCTCACTGTCATCTTGTTCTCCACATGCCGCCTCTATGTACACGTTAGTTAACTATCCTGCACCCACCCATGTAAAAGAAGTGTCTTTCTATTTTACTCTTTACCCAGTCCTAGAGCTTTCCCCGCTTTGCTTTCTCCCACCGCCTTATCCTGCCACTAATGCATTTCATGTAACTCCCTTCCATCTGCTTTGATTCCAATACAGTGGGGCCTTGACTTACGAGTTTAATTCGTTCCGTGATGGAGCTCATAACTCAAATTACTCGTATGTCAAATCAAAAAGTGAACGAGTGAGACACGTGATGCTGGGCTGATGTTGTGGCGTTCACTGTGACGTTCGCTGCGCCAACTAGTGGTGGGGTATCTGAAGCTGGCTCGTAACCCGAATTTTAGCTCGCAACTCAAAGCAAAAAATCGGCCGAGAGATGGCTCGTATCTCGAAAAACTCGTTAGTCGGGACACTCGTAAGTCAAGGCCCCACTGTATATAAAACAAGCTGCACAACTGCCATTCTCTGGAGCAAATCTCCATCCGTTGGGATTTTGCTTCCTAGCAATTGTCTTCCATTTGGCTCAATAAACTCATAAAGCCCTGGCCGGTGTGCTCAATGGTTAGAGCATCGGCCCATACACCAAAGGGTCTCAGATTTGATGCCTGGTCAAGGGCACACACCTGGGTTGCAGGTTTGTCCCCATTCATGGCATGTGCATGGGAGGCAACCAATTGATGTGTCTCTCTCACATGGATGTTTCTCTCTCTCTCTTTCCCCCTCCTTCCCTGTTTCCCTTCCACTCTCTCTAAAAATCAATGGGGAAAATATCCTCTGGTGAGGATTAACAAAAGTAAAAATAAAAAAATAAACTAAAAAATTCCCTACAGGTTTGGACATTTTCTTTTTGTTTTTCTTAATCCTCACCCTAGGATATGTTTATTGATTTTATAGAGAGAGGAAGGGAGAGAGAAAAAAACAACACCCAACACATCAATGTGAGAGAGAAACATTGACTGGTTGCCTCCTGTATGTACCCTGACCAGGGATTGAACCTGCAACCTTTTGTTATAGGGCAGTGGTCGACAAACTGGGGCTCGCGAGCTACATGCAGCTCTTTGGCCCCTTGAATGTGGCTTTTCCACAAAATACCACGTGCAGGTGCGCACATACAGTGCGATTGAAACTTCGTGGCCCATGCACAGAAGTCGGTTTTCGGCCTGGGTGAGTCTATTGAAGTAGGTTTTCGGCCTGGGCGAGTCTATTTTGAAGAAGTGGCGTTAGAAGAAGTGGGGGGTGTCGGTCGGTCGGGCACGCAGACGGGCCACAGGATACACAGCGCGGGGGAGGTGCTCGAGATTCATACACGAGTTGAGTGAGCCGGTCAGTCAGGAGTACCCTAATTAAGTTAATAACAATGTACCTACCTATATAGTTTAAGTTTAAAAAATTTGGCTCTCAAAAGAAATTTCAATCGTTGTACTGTTGATATTTGGCTCTGTTGACTAATGAGTTTTCTGACCACTGGTATAGGGGAACGATGACGCTCCAACCAACCGAGCCACCCGGCCATGGCTGCACATTTCTTATATGGACAGTATGATGTGGGATGTAGGTGATATTTCCAATTCTCTTATTAAAATCTCTTATGCAAATTGGCTTTAATCGATGAAATGATAAAAGGTAGTGAAGCTTCATAATGGAATGTCATGAAAACTAGAAAATTGGATTAAAAGATCCATGAGTCACCCCACTTCTTCCCACAAGACACCCAGAAGACTGAAGGTGGAACCATATTCACCCGTCAGTGCCGGGATGGGAATCGCGGTAACAAAGCTACCAGAAAGGTCTAGGGCAGCAGTTCTCAACCTGTGGGTCGCGACCCCTTTGGCGGTTGAACGACCCTTTCACAGGGGTCGCCTAAGACCATCCTGCATATCAGATATTTACATTACGATTCATAACAGTAGCAACATTACAGAAAATAATTTTATGGTTGGGTCACAACATGAGGAACTGTATTTAAAGGGCCAGAAGGTTGAGAACCACTGGTCTAGGGTAAGTACCAGCCTGCCGCACAACAGGGAGAAATGCCAACAACAGTCACTCATGCCAAGGAAGTTTCTCAAAATGGCAGTTTTGCAGATAATTCCTGCAATTCTGCACTCCCATTTCATTGATTGCACTAGTACATACTGGCCACACGGGGGCACCAGCACACTCCACAACCAAATTGTTTTTCCTAAGGATACAGTGGGGTGCTGTTCAGCCTCTTATGGTGATTAGTAGAAATGCTGCTGCTTCTGAAGGCACATAATAGCCAAAGAATAGAAAGGTGGCCACATCCAGAGGGCTTTACAAATAACATACTGCACTTTGCAGTCTGTTCCACTCCAAACCCCTTTTAAGAAAGCGTCACAGGGACTCCTGCCCCCACCATGCTTCAGGTCACCTCTCCATGAATAATCTCTGACACATGCATCTGGCCCTGGTCTACCTACTGAGCTTGAGTCCTGCATCGCTAACTGTGCTCCAGTTCCTGCAACCATCACTTCAAACCCAACATTCATCTTTCCTTACAGAACACTGTCCCTCCAGATTTTCTGGCCTCTCTCATTAATAAAAACAAACACTGCCCAGCTGGCGTGGCTCAGTGGTCGAGGCGTTGACCTATGAACCAGGAGGTCACGGTTCGATTCCTGGTCAGGGTATATGCCCCAGTTTCAGTCTCAATCCTCAGTGTGGGGTGTGCAGGAGGAAGCCAATCAATGATTCTCTCTCATCACTGATGTTTCTATCTCTCTCTCCCTCTCCCTTCCTCTCTGAAATCAATAAAAATAATAAGTAAACAAAAGCAAATACTAACTTTATCTGACATGTGCCAGGCTTTACATGGATTAACTCACTAACACTTAAAATAACAAAGTAGTTTGATATCTTGTTCAAAATCGCAAAGCTGAAGAAGTGCCGGAGCTGGGATCGGAATCCAGGCAGGCTGGCTTCGATCTGAAGGCAGCTGTGATCCGGTATCTCCCTTTGAAGGTAGATGTTTATAGTCTCGGTATTCCACATGTGACCAACATATTTTTGTTGATGACATCAAGTTAAGCCCAGAGGCTAAGGGGATTCTACTAAACTGGAAGGCCTCGGTGCCAGGACAAGGTCTCTGGTTCGTGCTGTTTCCAGCACCTCGCACAGTTCGGAGCACATTGCAAGCATTCAGCACATACTTCTGGGTTGAGCTGGCTGAAGTCACATTTAAATCAGCAAGTACACAGGCTAAGAGACAAAAAAGTACCTCAAAACCCAAATGTAGTTCCACCAACAGTAACTCAGAACTGTGACAGGAGTTGCTATTTTGATAATAATGAGCAGAATAATCTTGTTTCAAAGTCAAAATAAATGTAAGAAAGAAAATGATTGTAAAGTAGTTATAAGTGCAAAGAGTGTCTATAAAAATCTTTATCCAAAAAAAGTACGGTGAAGTAGGACGAGGTAGAGGAGATGGGTGGCTGGTGGGAAGGGAAACTGTGGACATCCAGAGGCAGCTGTCTGGGAGTATTCTGTCCAACTCAGACGTTAAAGCCCCTTCCCTCACTACGGCGTGAGTTGGGTCTTGGTTTTATAACATTTTACTTGTTTAATTTCCTGTGTTCCAGCAAAGTCAGAACTACCACCTTACTCAAACTTCAGTAAGTCACAGAGGGCTTCCTAAGTGACACCCAGGGCGAGAGCTGCAGGATAAGTAAAAGTTAGCTGGGGAAGTGTGGGAGAGAGAGATTATTTCAGGCAAAGAGCATGTGCCATGGGCTGGGAGTGAGAGAACGAGGTCCCTTCTAAGGAGTGGCAGGGATAACACCAAGTTAGGGAGGGTGTGGGGAAGGGAACGTTCTCACACCTTGTTGCTAAGGGTATACAGTCATACCCACTCAGAAATGTCTACAGGGAACTTTGGGAACATGTTTAGAGCCTTAAAAAGTATTCAATTTAACCTAGCAATTTCATTCCTGGGAATTCATCTTATATAAAAAATTAAGCATGCATGTGAGGATTTAGCTGCAAGGAACAGAAACATGCTGCTGCTTATAAAAGCAAAACATTTAAAGCAGCCTCAGTGCCCATTTATCAAGGCCTCATTAAATCAATTATAATATAACCGTAGTTCAGAGTACTCTGTAATCATTATAAATTATGCCCAAGTCCTGACCGGTTTGGCTCAGTGGATAGAGCGTCGGCCTATGGACCGAAGGGGCCCGGGTTCGATTCCAGTCAAGGGCATGTACCTTGGCTTCGGGCACATCCCCACTGGGGGGTATGCAGGAGGCAGCTGATCAATGTTTCTCTCTCATCGATGTTTCAAACTCTCTATCCCTCTCCCTTCCTCTCTGTAAAAAAATCAATAAAATATGTATTTTTTTAAAAATGTGCCCAAGATTAGTATTTATTGGCTCAGTGGTTGAGCATTGACCTATGAACCAGGAGGTCATGGTTCGATTCCCAGTTGGGACATATGCCCAGGTTGCGGGCTTGATCCCCAGGGTGGGGTATGCGGGAGGCAGCCGATCGATGATTCTCTCTCACCAATGTGTCTCTCTCTCTCTCTCTCTCTCTCTTTCCCTCTCCCTTCCTCTCTGAAATCAATAAAAATATTTTTAAAATAAATAAATAAGTATAATAAATAAAATCTATTTATTAGCATGAAAAATGTTCACAATATAACATTGTGAGAAAGAAAAAGCAAGATATGGTATACTATTGTAGTATGGATCCTATTTCACAAATAATGAGCAGAAAAGTCTGCTTATTTCTGGATGGTGGAATTATAAATGTTGTTTAGCTTATCTTTTTCATATTTCTTTAATAAACATGCAGTACTTTTTTAATAGGAAGACATATTAGTTACTTCTTCACTTGTCCCCGCAGTGAACAGAGATGAATTAAGCCATACATTCAGTCCCTGACCAGCGGCTATGAGGGTGAAAGAAGAATATGGGTTCCAGGAAGGAGATCTCAGTGGCACATCCCCACGGCAAGGTCCGTAGACCCTCCTCCCCTCCACACACACCTGCACAAATCCAAACGGGAAGAGGCGCTCCGTCTGCCCCTCAGAGCCGAGGTGGAAGGTCTGGCGCCAGTCCTCAATGAGCGCGGGGAACGTGCAGTTGTACAGGTTCCTGTTAAAATCGATGTTGGCCTCCCCTGGAAACAGTCCAAGTGGTGAGAGAAGTTTGGGGTAGAAGCAAAAATGGCCACACAATACTCCCCAACCTCTAGCCCTGCCTTAGGAAGTGGGCCTCCCTGCAGTCTCTCTGGACTGGCCTTGCTCGGGCCGACAGGGGCATCAGCAAACATGATACAAGCAGGCTTGAAAAGTGCTTCAGTTCGGGGGTCTGCTCTCTCGATACACTTGGAACCCCGAAACTGCTATGTAAACAGTAAATAAGTCTGAGCTAGCTTGCTGAAGGGTGGGGGGCCACATGAGAGCCACAGGGCCCCAGCTGGTAGACAGCTCCCAGCCAACACATGGGAAGAGAGGCCAATCTAAGTCACTCGGCCATCAACCTGCCAGGTGGCCAAAGACACATAAAGATCCCAGCGGAAATTAGCCAAAGCAGCCCAGATGGAGAACCGACCCTGCTAGACCACAGAACAGGGAGCTAAATAACATTGTTTTTGTTGTAAGTCGCTAAATTCTAGGATGGTTTGTTATGCAGACAAGCTAACTGACAGAGGCCAATTAAGTCACTCGGCCATCAACCTGCCAGGTGGCCAAAGACACATAAAGATCCCAGCGGAAATTAGCCAAAGCAGCCCAGAACAGAAAAACGACCCTGCTAGACCACAGAACAGGGAGCTAAATAACATTGTTTTTGTTGTAAGTCGCTAAATTCTAGGATGGTTTGTTATGCAGACAAGCTAACTGACACAGTGGAGAAATAGCAAATCGAACACTCACCCTGGTACCATATCACGCCTTTCAGAGTCATATTATGTAGTGGATGGATCATGGCGTTCCAGAGAACAGAGTGTTTACTGGGGCCACTTATAGAAGCCGGTGAAGTGAACCTGAAATCGATAAGGCGCACAAGTGTCAGGAGAGAGCTAGCGATCGATCACATTATGATCCCCCACCTGGGCGCCTCTCCAGCTTTTACTTGGGGCAAATTTCTGATGACAGCAACACAGGATTACATTGAACCGCTCTGCCTCACATGGACACGTGTGAACAGTCTCTGAATTTCACCTCCAGGTTCTTCCCAGGATAAGGGTATCAGTCAGTTTTCCACGAGTTCAGCGTGGGCCACCCCAGTTCCCAGATCAGGTCATTAAAGCCACGAAGAGGAGAAGTGTTTTATTACGAGTCTCACACACAAGGCAATAGATCTGTTTGACTAGTCCTCCATGAACGGACACTTAGATCGTTTCAAGCTTTTTGCTTTTGTAAGCAACGCCACGATTCTCTTTCCTATAGCTTCATCATTGCATGCAGACTTAAGTATTTCCTTAGGATCAACTCCCAGATCGGAAACGGCTGGGTGAAAGGACACATTTTTTTTAAAAGGCTTTCAACATGTCCCTAAGTTTCTCTGTAGAATGCCTGTAGGAAGGTACACCCCCTTCCTCACGCCCTTGGAATTGTCCCTTCCATGTCCTCAGAGATCTGGGAGGCCTGGCTTCAGATGCCTCCTGCTTTACCACAGGCAATTCCTTCTGCTCCAAAATGGAATGTCTTCACACAGGCACACCTTTACCCAAGTGAAACCAGGAGCTCAAGTCTACCCTATTCCCAGAGGCCTTCCCAGGACTGATGAGACGATGTCTGTGAAGGCCGTCCACATACTGTTCATCTCTACGTTAGCAGGACGATCAAGATTTTATTAAGTAGCCCGTCCTCTGACCCAAAGCCCGAACCACGTGTCCTTCCTGATCTAGCTTTCCCTCAGAGTGCTTTCCTAATCACTACACTACATATTTCTTTGATTACACGTCTACTTGTTCTTCCTGTTAGAGTGTTTATTCTGCTAAGCAATACAACACAGTGGTTAAGAGCAGACACTGAGGCCAGCCTTTGCCACTTACACGTGTGTCCATGAGCAAGTTACTAAAGCTCTCTCCGACTTAGTATCTTTTTTTTAAATATTTTTTTTATTGATTTCAGAGAGGAAGGGAGAGGGAGAGAGAGAGAGAAACATCAATGATGAGAATCATTGATCGGCTGCCTCCTGCACGCCCCACACTGGGGACGGAGCCCGCAGCCCAGGCATATGCCCTGACTGGGAATCAAATGGTGACCTCCTGGTTCATAGCTCGACGCTCAACCACTGAGCCACGCCGGCTGGGCTCCGACTTGGTATCTTTTTCCACGCTATGTTAACAGTGTCTACATTTCAAGAGACTGTTGTATTAAATGAGTTACTATATATAAACTACTTACAACATTTTTCAGCATAAAGCTTTCAGTAAGTATTAGCTATAATTATTATTAAGAAAAAGACTCATAATTGCTTGTGCTGTTCTCAGAAGGCTGTGGTGGTGGTGACAGTGAAAATAATACCTTGCCTGTGCACGGAACAAGTTAACACATATTTGGACACTCAGCACGCACTTCACCCCCCAAAGGAGACCGCGATTCTCCTCTTTTATCTAATTTCCTGGCAGGCCTTCTCCCGGACTGCGGGATGCTTTCTTACCCTTCCTTAGGGACCCCGCAGGCTCTCAGTGACCTTCCAGATGACCAGGCTTCAATGGGGGTCCCGCCCCACGAAGAGGAGATCAGCCCCACGGGATACCGCAGCGTGTCGTACAGGTTGCGCCCGAAGAGCCAGCACACGGCCGACATGTACTCGAAACTCCCATGGCCTAAGTTTTCTGTTCAGAAGAAGAGGGTCAGGTAGAGAGTAGAGGGATACCGATGGGTCTAGGTGAGAAGAAGGGGTGTGGGCCATCCCTGGTGTTCCTTGCTAAGAATTTCCAAAAGTAGAAGATTGAGAGGCCATGATCTCATTTGCAGAGAACCAAAGCTCCCTGGCCAGGCGAGTGGACCCCCCCACCAACCCATGCTCCCCTCTCACCTACAGGTTCCTGAGAACCTCAGAATACGATTAGTCCTCCTCAACAGGTGAGGGCAGAAAGGCCATCGGGCCCCTTGACCACCCTCACCTCACCTCTACCTTTCCCTCGCCATTCGTCCCCATTTAGCTCCGTGGAAAGAAATGAGGAAACAGGGAGCATGTCAGGAAGAAATGTGTCTTTTTTCTACCCCATTTTATAGCTAATGGTCATGAAGACATGGGCAGCAGGTATGGGATGCAACATCTGGCTAAAAGAGAAAGCAACAAAAACCAAAACTGGTGCTTAAATGTTCAGCGTAGAAAGCTCACCTGTCCATACAGCCCAGTCACTAACACACACGGGAGTGGTCAATCCCATGTGGGAAGAAAGCTGATGAAGAGGGGAACGGGCACACACACACTCACCTGACGGGGTCATTCAACCCAGTATTTCCTAAGGAACTGCTATGTCTAAGGCACTGGCTTGGCACCACTCAAGA